ATAAGCTATCCTAATCCACTCTTCGTTACTTTGCAAATATGTCTTCTCTTAACATTCTCTTGTTGATTGAGGAGCTATGTCAGAGCCTTCCGACGTACACCTGAATCTGGGCTGGATCCACCCTTTCAGCGTACATCTGGATTTGAGCTGGATCCACCCACGATTGTATGCACGACTTGCACGCAGGATTTACTACAGAACCTGTATTGGAAGTAAATACGTGCTCATTAGCGTGCCGTGACAATAAAAAAGGCACAACTACCTCTCATTCAGCGCGGAGTCAGCCCCTTCATAAACACCAATAGCGCACATGTGATGGATTAGTTTTCTGCACACAGTACACGGCTCCGTCCTTAGCTCGTCGCCTTCCTGGCAGCCCGCTACCACGCACCCCATTTTCCGTTGTCCGATAGTTTGAGTTCAGGTATGCCGGTGAAACAAATTGCGAGTGGTGGAGGGAAGCCACACGATTTCAAAATGCCAAATGAGGGCTGGCCTTGCTCGATCAGGGTACCTGGAAGTAGTACTCTAAGGTTAATATCCAACTGCGTGGAGAGAGTAATGCTAATACCCAAAGTGAATACCGTACACCTCGGTATTAATATTAGTCCTACCAAAAAAAAGTGGCAGTAGTACTATCCAAGTTTACTACTTTTGATGATACTACCAGCCCCTGTTTCAACTATTCGGAATTAGTGCTACTTTCTAAGCGTTTTTATTCACTTAGCGCTTACTTTTCAGATTCAGCGCGTCAGAGCCAGTGCTTTGGTCTCGAAGAGGCACAAGTAACGGACTAGAGCTAAGATAACAACTTGCCACACTTGTAGCAGGCCAAGTATCGTTCCTCACTGCCGCATTGTCCAGCGAGTGCACAGAGCTCTTCCTCACCTACATGGCGCCTTCTCTCAGTCCTGACGTGTTGAACACCATCGTGAGGCATGAGGAAGCGTCAATACAGACGCAATCCCCACCAAGTTCTTGTGGCAGTGACGACGAGCGTCAAGAGAAGTTGGAGTTCTTGGGTGTAGCAGATACGGCGCTCAACGACGACAACTGGGGCTGGCTGCGAGACCTGCTGGACCGTGTGCATGATGCTGCAGTGGGGAGTCAGGCCAAAGTCTTCTTCGCTCGCCTGTTCAAGGCGCAAGACGCCGCTGAAGTGGACGCCACGTTGAGTGAGATGGAGAGCTGGAGAAACAGTTTGGGCGGCGACGAAGAGCGCAAACTGGCGCGTGCGTTGTTCCTGTTGGGGTACGACAAGAACATGTCTTTAGGTCAATAGAGAATAGAGATAGGACAAACCCATAGAGTTACTTTTGACAAAATAGAGATACGTGTTCAAAGATTTTATCTGGAATTAAGGACAGCTACGCGGTACTCTGTAGACCCGCCACCTGAGGTTAAGAGCCGAATGCTTCGTCGACGTCGTCTATTTTCTTGAACTCGTAGTGGCCACGACCATCAAACTGCAATTGATACAATAAATTAATCCATGCAAACAATAAAAAATATAAAAATATACCAAAGTACCCACCCGAAGCACATATTCGTGATACGTCCAAAGCGACTTGCGGTGCGACACAGTGAAGAGCGTGATGTTCTGTTCGCGGCAGTAGCTGTACATTGCGCCTTCGACGTCCACACTAACGGCAGACGTGCACTCGTCCAGGATAGCGAACTGCGGCTTGTGGTAGAACAGACGCGCCATGGCCACGCGCTGCTTCTCACCGCCCGACAGGACGTCGGCCCAGTCGTGAATGACGTCCCAGCCGCCTTCACGGTCCACGAGATGACCCAGTTGCACCTTCTCCAGGTAGAACATCAAGTCTTCGTCGGTCCTTCCGCACGCCTGCATCTCCTTGAGCGAGTGTGGGTAGATGATCTGGTCTCGTAGCGTTCCCAATGTCAGATATGGTCGCTGCGGGATGTAGAACAGTCCGTTGCGCTCGGGCTTCGTCAGTTTGCCACCGAACATGGGCCACAGTTCGCCAAGAATGCGGAACAGCGAGCTCTTGCCACAGCCATTCGGCCCTGCGACGACGACGTTCATACCGGACTCGACCTTGATGTTGAGCGATGGCACTAACACGTCTCCGTTCGGTGTCACGAGTGGCACATCTTGGAATTGGATCACGTGGTCACGGTACAGGATCTCGCCCTTGTTGGGGTACAGACCCAGCGAGTCAGCAGACGTGGACTGGGTCTTGGACTCTTCGAGATCTTCCTCTTCAGCCTTCAGCATCGTGCGGTGGTACTTGCCCTGGTCCAAGTCGCTCAGCACGTCGATCATCTCGGTCACCCGAGCCGTAAATCCCGCCAGACGCGTCAGCTCGCGGCCCGACAGCACCAGACGCCCCATGGCCTCCGACATCTTGAGCAGCATCTTGCCCGACCGGAAGTAATCCTCCATTCGCTCGGCGTATGACGTGTGCTCCAGTCTCTTGTTCGACAGGTCCAAGAAAGGCTTCGACAGCACAGCGTACCCCACGACTGTCGCCAGGTACTTGGCCACAATGTTGTCGATAACGCTCATGGAGAAGCGGAACTGCTGCGAACTGCGCACCAAGTCGATGAGTCGGGTGAACGATTGGTCCAAAATGCGCTTCTCCCTCACGTTGCCGTTGTAGAAGGCGATCTCCTCGCTGTGCGTGATGAGTCGCGAGTTCATGAAGCGGAAGTTGCCTTCCATCTGCTGTTCGGCGATCGTGAAGCGACTCGTCGGCTGCCGTAGCCACGTGAGGAAGAAGCCCGAGGCCACCAGGTAGCTCAACATGATCACGGGCCCTTCCACGCCGATAGAGGACGACAGTTTGACGGCGTAGATGGCGATATCCAGCACGGGCTTGGACATGTTGGAGTACAGATCCGCCACCGAGTTGCTGAAGCGCTCGACGTCCACTGTGAGCAGCTGGTCGGCGTTGGAGATGCGGTTGTCCAGGTTGGACACTTTGTAGTAGACAAACCCTTTCACGTACTGCTCGTACAGGTGGCGGGTGAGTCTCGTTCGGAAACGGAGACTGAGCTCCGTGTGGCCGTATTTCAGCAGACTGTTAACGCAACTCATGGGCAACATAATGGCCACGAAGCGGCGCAGATGACGCATAAAGTCCGTCTGCGAGCGAGAGATGATGGCTCTCTCGACGGCAGTGAAGGTGTGCAGCACTACAATGTCGAAGGACGTGCGAGCCACGAGCATAACCGCCACAAGAGCAGCGAACCCCACTTCGGCTGTGAAAGGACCCGGTACGATGACCTTGAAGAGACGCAGGAAGCGACGATAGAACTCCCTATTGACTGCCACCTTCTGCCGACTGCCCTGCTTCTTGGTCATGAACTCCGAGTCCATCGCGAAGGCTGCGTTCGCCTTCTTTTGTCCATGTTCGCGAATTGCCACAGCCAATGCCACCTGTAATTTGAGCAATTGGGACACATGACGTCGGACACAGTGAGGAATCGGATTGCAGAGCCTACAGAGTAAAGACAGGAGAGTACAGAGTGGAAACGTACGAGCGACGTGATGGACAAGGCGCCAGACGCGGCGTGCGACTTGGACAACACCGCCATGAAGCTCGGAAAGCAGCTAAGACAGAGCGCGGCTATAAATTCCTTTTGCCACGAGCGATGCTTTTGGTTGTGAGGCGTTGTGTTCAATCCAACGTGGAACGTACTGCCCGCGATTCGAATAAAGGTATTGTGATTATATGTACTATTATAGGTTTGGCCGGCAAACACAAAATGGATGAGAGTCCTACCTCCCGCGTGGCATTTGTAAAAGGAGGGTAATATATATTTGCTTGCAGCTTAATTTAACCTGGTACTGTACTTTTACAGATTTCGCGTTGGCAGAGGCGTCGTTGACGTAAAACACCGAGTTGAAGGCACTGACGTCATCCAAAATGCCGAAGATCTCAGTGCAGCGAATGCCAATGAAGCTCAATGGCAATGGAGCTCTACAGCTTCTCGCTCATACCTGCACTTATCGCGATCACGATGTACAATGTGCTGGCTACACACCAATAAAAAAACGACCCCCCCCCCCAAGCGACGCGTCGCTCTATCTGATTGCCTCCTCTCTTGACCTTACTGAGCCTGATGGAGAAGCCTCGCGTGAACCGCCAGGCAACAGCGCGAGCTCCCGGGCGTCCAGTCTCGTCGCACTTGCTCGCAGGTAGCGGGTCTCGTCTGCGTCTACCTACCGCACCGAAGGAAGCAAATTCTCCCAGTCCAGACACAGCACTCCATGGTGCAGTCACCTCGTCAAAATCCCCATTTGACCAGTTGTTACTGCTAGGCCCCTCTCTGTCTAACGTACTGACCTTCGTAAACCCTCCGCAGCCTCGACGACTGCTTGAGACGCAGCAGGAGGCTGGGGAGGCCTCAAGCGGAGGAGACTGGACTGCTCAAGGTAATCAGTCGCATCACGGCAGCAGCAGCTCGTTGCATGACGTCAAGCCGTCCGCCAAGTTTGACCTGCGACTATCAAGATCCGCCATTCTGGGCAAACTGGTAGATCTGTCCATCGACAATGCACGCAAGACACAGGAATACTTCGCCAAGCTGTTGAGCAAGATCCAATGCGAGGCTACGGGGCTCGTGCTACTGCACGACGCGACTGTCGTTATCTTCCTTGAAACAACAGCCGAGCAGTTTGTAATTATTCTCAAGCAACTTGAGCAACAACGTTTCATCGACGCTAACTCCTTAAAGATCCTGGCCAACTGCGACGACAATGGCGCTCGCATTCTGCAAGGACTGTACTTTAAGAAGATCGTCCTCAGCCGCAGTGACGCTGCTGACTGGACAGGGGATACAGCACCGCAATGCATCGTCGAGACTTTTCTCAATCTGATCAAATTCGTCAAGAAGATCGGGCCGATGCCGCCTGGGGAGATCCGCAAGTGTCTGAACAATCTCTCGAATACTGACCAGACTTTCCTCCCGTCCAACGACCTCGTGCTATGGCTACTTGGGCGAGAAGAGCTCATGACAATTGACGAGCATCTAGACTTTATCGACAGCCATGAAACGGTCGAGCTCGAGTCCGAGCGCGTGTGGCCCGTGCACCCTCTTATCCACTACTGAAAGCAACGGAATAACTTCATGTCCATGTAATATATTCGTTTTCATTAGCACCAACCCCCTGGTGTAGTAGTGATAGCCGAACGCTTCGCTTTCATTCCGCGAGGGAGCCGCTCAAGCTGGATGGGTGGCTGTCTCCATCCAACGTGCAGCCTCCGCCGTCGCAGTATCCGTCTGCTAGCGTTGCTGGCACGTTGACAAACTGACAGCCGCCTCCAGGACACGAGGCGCCTGCAGTATTGTCAAAAATACACGCCCCTCCTTCACACGCAGCCTCCTTACACTTCCTGTTACGCGACAAGGAATAAGTCGCGCCTCTATAAGTTTTAAGCGTCATGTGACACTGCCAGAGCAAATTCAGATCAGTTAGTGCACTCACCGGAAGTAGCAGAGTCCGCCTTTGCAGGACAGAGGAGAGGCGCAATTCTCGAAAAGACAGCCACCGGCTACACAGTTCTCCGTCTCGCATGACGTCGGCACGTGGATGTACTGCGAGATTAGGTCCTTCTCCGAAGTAGAATCGTCATCTGCACCCAACGCAAACTGGAAGCCCAAAACTAGCACGAGTAGCTGAAGCCTCATGGCGGCACACTCGACAATTTCAATTCTGCACTTTAAGATCCGCTATCCAACCTTCGCGTCCCTTCATGATAATCAGTCGAAAGTATTTACCAGGATCTAATTCGCTTATGTGGCGCACAACTTTCGCGCACTTATGACCAGTACATGTACCCTGAAAAACCGGTAGTAGTAGTTCCGGTACATCGAATGTACAGTACAATAATTCGCAAGGCTGGCTTATGTGGCGCACAGCATTCGCGCACTTATGACCAGGGGTTAGTATTGTGCTTTCAGGCTAAATTTACATTTTCGGGGCTATTGCCCGAATCGACGACAAGTCGACCAAGTGTTTTGATTGGTCAAAAGCCAGATTTGCATCACGATCACCATTCTTCAAATTGCCACCCCTGAATTGCCGCGCTTCCGAAGAGGTTAAGTTGACCGTGTCGCTTGAGTTTCCGTTCTCTAGCTAACAAATGAGTACGTCTACATGCTACAGATCTACCTGCCTGTCATTCCCATTGCCGTTTAGCGTCCGGAATGGAAGACGCCGTTATTCGGCAGCATGTCCACCCGAATACAGTTTTTCACTGTCTCTACGGATTTTACTGTCTCGGATACTCGCGCTCACAGCTTGCCCACATTTATCAAAAGAACGTTAAGACCATCGGAAATTGGATTAATGTGTACGAGCGGACAGGGACGTACCAGCGGGTAGACGCAAATGCTATTCGAAAATTCACAACTGCTCATCGGGAGTGGCTGTGTAATTACTACGCAGTTCACCCCTTAGCTTATCTGGATGAGGCCCGTGATGCATTTGTTCGTGCACACCAACTGAGCATTTCTATATCATCTGTGTGGCAGATTATTCACGATGGGGGCCTTACAAGAAAAGTTCTCGAACGGAGGGCTATGCACATCAAAGAACTTGATGTGTTCCGGTTTGTAGAAGAGCTCAGTCATGTCAACTGGTTCTACCGTAACCTTGTCTTTCTCGACGAAGTTTCTTTTGACAACCGGGGCATGATCAGAAAGCGCGGATACTCGCTAAGAGGGCAAACAATAGCAATACGCGGAGATTTCCAGCGTAAACCAAGAGTATCGGCGCTGGCGTTTATGTGTGCTACCGGTATTCTCGATTACTATAACTGCGATGGGACTTTTGATCGCGTGCAGTTCTTCAACTACTGTCGTGATTTCGCTTACTCAGAACGGGGGCATGTACGCCAGTATCCTGGCTCAAACTCTGTCTGGATAATGGACGGTGCCTCAATTCATCGTGATCCTGAAATCATCCACTTCCTACGGAGCATTGGAATCGTACCAATATTTTTGCCTGCTTACTGTCCATTTTTCAACCCAATCGAATTCATGTTCGGATACATCAAGCAGTCTTTTAAGAGACACTATAATGAGTCAAGCAGCAATGATCTTTTACCATTTGTGGTAGAAACGTTCGATCGATTCATTGGCTTCGATATGGCCAAGGTATTTGAGCATTGCGGCTGGAAACGGGAAGGATATTTTGACCCTAGTGGGTCACTGGAAAAGGAAACACGACAGTGTCAGTTTTCTGAGAACAGCGAATTGCAAGCAAACGAAGGAAGTAAAGCGCTAGATTTTACGACAAGAGAGCTGGTCGAAATGTCTGAATGCTAAGCGAAAAATAAATTTCCAGCTTCGAACTTACTCTTGGTGCTCAGTATCCTCAATATTTTCCATTGTAGAGGTCGGATCAAGGACATCACCAGCATCAGGAAGAGGGATATCAGCTAGAAATCCCTCAATCGTGGACTTACGCACTTCCAATGCGTGCCTTTGGTTTTCTAAGCGGCGCCCGTATGCTTCCCATCCCTTTCGGAGATCTGCGCTATCAGCTAGAGCAGCTTCGATCGTGTCTAGTGCCACACGTATCGACCTAGTCAGATTCATCAGGTGCTCGTGGACTTGCCCGTCGGAAGGACTTAGATAACGTTCCAGTCTAGAAGGTGGGTTGTCCAGCAAAGCAGCATCCCAGGTAGAGCGGTCCAAGTTACGCATTATTTCGTTGGCCCACATTCTCCATACTGGCGCACTTGCTTGGTATGTGTTTCCCCAAATTTCTTGCAATCGCCCCACTATCTCACGAACAGATATCTCTGCTGCAGCACCAGAACGATCGGTGTGCTGCGGGCGAATGCATGCCTGCATAAACTCGTCCAGAACTCGCGCGTTGGGGATCCCCAGCCCGTATTCATATATCATCAATGTTACAGTGTTCCCACGTTGGGATATGGTCCACCGGTTCCAGAGCTCTGGTGTCTTAGCTGATGGAACGATACGGCTGTTAGCTTTGAACTGCATTACACTGCTCCATGATGTTTCGTCAGGGCGCTCAACTGACCAAACATCATCGATGTTTTTAGCTTGTCCTTTGACGTGGCAGCTAAACTTCTCCCATAACTTGTGCATGATCTCACTAAAAGAAGCACCATTAGCAGCAAAAATGTCCAGCTGCTTGCCGGACGAATCGCGTTGACCGACTGTAGTCTTGACAATCCCTTGGACTACCAACTGCAATCGATGCTGGTCGCCGTTTCCGGTCGAAGCATATAATGATACACGAGCCCGCTGGCCTCGAAAGATATCTGAAGCTTGGAGCGCTTGCGGAGGAGTTCTCTCACGCAGAGGGTACGGTGAAACACGAACCGTTAAGGGCGAAGTCGAGGATACTGCAGTTCGCGAAATAGGCTCGTTTCGGGGCGGAGAAAGCCTATACTCTGATAAGGCGTCGTACCCGACACTCGAGCTTGGTCCTGTAGCGAAGCTGCGATCTTCAACGCCCTCAATCATATTGCCGATCGGGGCAGGTCGCCATATTATACTTATTGAGATGCATGAAAAATGCTATTACGTAGGTTGCGCGATTGCTTGTTGGTTGATTCGAAGAACCGCGCACGGAAATTTTGAGTAGAAACCACAATAGTACCCAGAAAAAACCGGTAGTAGTAGTACCGGTACTACCGGGCCACCGGAGGTAGAAACTAGTAGCGCTTTTTCGAGCCGGTAGTAGTAGTAGTGATATTAGTATACTATCGAAACTACTATTTACGCCTCCGTCGTCTTGCGTGAGTCCTGCTTCATCTTCAAGATCTCGTTCCTGCTGTGCCGAAGTAGAAGCTGTCTTTCGGCGCGTCGGCTGTCTGTCCTCGTCCTGAGTGGACCCATTATTATGCCTCGTGTTGAAAAAACTCTCTCTTGAAACGCCGACGAAGAAATTTTACCGAGGTGGATGCGCGCTAACAGAGCAATAGAGGAAAACTGAACTTCACCCCTCATCGCGGAACCACTTCAGCACGTCAATGTGCTTATACAAACCCAGTAGAGAGTAATGCATACGTCTTGCGCGTCAATCGAGCTGCCCTTCGACAATTCTTCGAACTTGAGATCGGGATTCTGGCGCTGGACGATCTCCAGCCATTCCGGCTCTAAATCCAGCCATTTTCGCACGACAGCATCCGCTCTGGCATTGATCTTGGTCTCCTTGACCATATCTCTCGTCTTGGTGGCTCGAATAGGTGCCCGTAGTAGCAGCTCGTCCGCGTCTTCCCAACCCGTTGACGCAGGCGAGGAAGAAGGTGATGAATCTTGGCTCAAGATGCTACTTTGGGACAGCGATTGCTGTGACAGCGATATTTTCCCCTGTTTTGTTCATCTGAGCGAAAACCTTTCGGTGTTCTGCACGTAGGAATTCAACACCATTCTTGTAAATGACCTTCTCTTCCTTGCGTGAAATGTTACCCACGGCAGCAATCTTCTTAGCACTAGACTTTGTTCTATGATCAAGCAGAACACACGCCATCGACTCTGTGGATATCTTGGGAAAACGGGCCTGCAATTTCAGCAAAGTTCTTCACAAACACGTCCTACCAGCCTCCGAAAACTGATCACGAGTTCTCACAACATGGCGATGACTTGCCTCGTTTGCATCTTTGGCCCTGGGTGCTTCGATGGCCAAGGTTTCAAACTTAAAGGACTTCAACTTGTTCTCCGCGAGTCGCCTGAATACGACCATGTTTGAGGACACCAGATTCTCACTCTGCGTCTCTACCAACGCAAGGTTAAATACAAAGTTCGTGGCCGCCTCCATTTCGACAGCTAGCATCCAGTCCTTAGCCGTAAGCGCAGCTCAGACGCTAGAGCTATTTTTTGTGGACTGAAAATATGCGTCGAATGCGAAATAGTTGACCACTGATCAGCGAATCAGTTTGCGCGTATACGCGACTCGCACGTCTTGGTCAGTCATCGGCTCCAGTTCCGGATAGGAAAGTGCCTCCTGGATCTTCTTCAGAGTAACTCGCTGTTTGGATGATTTGAAGTGGTTGTTTAAATTTCGAAGCTTCCGAATTACGTCGCCTCCTTCACTCAATGCACCTCCAGGAGTTACCGTAGCTACTATTTTGTCCCAAGAGCTGGTCTCCTCATTCAACACAGTGTTTGTCTGAATATTGTCCTTCAGTCCAATTCCATATCCAATACAGAGGTTCAAGAGGTGCATAGAGCAGCTTTCCTGCTCTGTGTCGATGTGATCCGCGACGTTCTTCGCCGAAGGAGTCGTGTCTAACATCGTAAAACGAGTCATACATCGAATATCAAGATTGAACCTTGCCTTAAACGCGCTCTCAATGACTTTAGCAACCCCCGAAGCGTTGTGACCGTCGTTCTTGACACAAGCAAGTACAGCGATGAACCGGAATCGCCATAGACTATTAATAAAGGCTACGGACGCACCAACAATACTGTCCTTGCTGCCACTTGTCCAAATATCATGAATCAGATCGAGGAACTTGAGTCGGCAAGCTTTCTCAATCTCTGCAGATAGTAGCACACTTAATAGATCGCAAAATAGCGGGACTGACCGTTAAAAAGACGATCGTGTCGATCACGTCCCAAAATTTGAAAGGCGGGGTTCCCTGTAGCTGTGCGCATGACATTGAAATCCGAGGAAGCACACACGGTGTATGGCAGCCCCTGCGAGA